CAGAGAACTGACGCAATGTGGGCTGAGCTCAGAAATTAATCCCAAGCCTGTGGGAGCACTGGAGTTTACGGGCTGGCTAACTTTCAACAAGAAAAGAGAACGTCTCCAGGTTTCTCGTGCAGCTTTGTCTACAAGTAAGAAATAGAAAACGCACTTACAGGAGCTCCTTCTCCACCGCGGGCAGTTCCTATCCTGCTGGAGGCCTGAATCAGGCTTTTAGGAACTTCTTTTACTCGTGTGAATGCGTTGGCAGGAAATGTGAGCTCAACGTGACCTCCCTGGTTTTGTTTTGCTTTTCCTGGTGTTGATCAGCGGGTGACAGCACTGGAAGAATCATCTCTGCACTGTGTCCAAGCACGAGTCCCTCTACAATATCTACAATCGGTGCCTGCACCCAGAGGTGGGCTTTGCCACCGGAGATACCCGTCAGGACCGCAGTGCCTCCTGCCACGGGTGCCGTGGGGAGCCAGCACCCCTCCTTGAGAAATACAACCTGCTCTTGTATAGCTCGAGTCAGGCACGATGCTAGGGATGGCCGGAGCCGCTGGGACCGAGGACCCACGTCAGCCCAACGTGAAGATCGCTGGTGGATCCCGTGCACCCCAGCATGCACAGGCTGGGTGGTGGGAGCACCCACAAAATACTCTGAAGTAGGTTTTTCTGGGATGTGCTAGACCAGGGTCACCCAGGCAAGCACACAGACCAGCCACTTGCTTAAACACAACCAGTTCCTTTTGCCCATCTTCTCTCCATTTTTCCATGCATCCTTTTCCCCTCTCCATCTTGATTCCTTCCCTTTTCTCCACCCCATTTCCTCCCAAGCAAGCAATCTGTCCCTAATGCCTTTTTCCCTGTTGGTCCTGGGTTTGCTGCATCCCAACCCCAGATGTGGCAAGAAGCTCCCTCTTGTTATTTTGTTTTCTAAAAGCTTTAATCAGTGGAAACGTCTGCCGTTGCCTGAGAGAAGGATATCGAGATGATGCCCACCCTGCCCACCTCCCCGCTCCCCTGGGCAGGACTGGATCTGCTTGGTCTCTACACCAAGAGGCTCCTGGGACTAAGGAGAACGTGGGATGGTGTAGAAATCTGCATTTTTTCCAGTAAATCTGAATAAGCCACGTGCTACTTGGATGCTGCAGGATCCTCATCCCTTGCAAGAGCAGAAACGGCTACCGGTGGGGACATGGCCGGGGCCAGCAGGTGCTGGCGGCTCCATGGGGACAACCCCATGTCTTTGCAGGCAGCGGCGAAGCCTTGCAAGTGGTACCAGAATAAGGAGCTTATTGCCGTCGTTGAACGTACAGAGATTGACCACAGCAGAGATGTGCCAGGCTCCTGGCACTGCCACAGGGACGTTTTGGGGACAGCTTCATGGCATGAGCCTTCGATCCCCTGTCAAAGGTGTCTCTGGTAAAGTGGTTTATTGGAGAGGTCACGCTCCGGCTCGTTTTCCTCATCTCACCACCAAACGGGGCCACGGGGAACACCCTGACCGTGCCACGGCCATCCCCACCCCTGGGTGCGCTTTACAAACTCCAAAACCGCCCTGCTAAAAACAGGAGAAGGGAGCAGCTGCGATGGCCACAGCTCCGCACCCAACCCGGGAGCCACGGAGAGAAATACGTTATTTTTACTCTTTTCCATCTTCGCCACCATCAGCTGGCATACACTTGTGCTTGCATTTAAAAGATATCGTATAATAAATATATCTGGGTAACATACACATTAGGAGAGGGCAAGAAGCCGCTCGCAAAGCTGAGGCACCAGACATGCACACGGGGACACTACAGGTGACAGCAGTTTCATTAGCCCAGCAATTAAAATGAAATAAGTTTTTGTTTTTAATTGAGTTTCTCCCCTGAAGCACATATCGCACAGAGCTGCAGGGAATTAAATGTGCCTCTGAGAGTCACTGGAGAAAGTAGCCTTCACTGTAATTTATTACAAGATTTTAACTCAATTGGGGAGCTGGTAATTGCATAGATTTTTTTTTTTTCCTTTCAGACTCTGCAGAGCCCTAATGGCTTTGGCAATTAAAGTAACGAGATTACCCATAATGGGAAGCCCATTTAGAGAGGTACAGCGGTACTAGCACACAGTTATCTGCACCACTTTCTTTTACGCTGCCGAAAATGCCGCCTGTCAGCGGCGGAGTGGGCCCGCGGGAGCAGCAGCTCCGCTTCCCCCCGTGCTCGGAGACGGGGAGTCACAAACACCGCACCGGAGAGCTGCAAAAGCGGGCAGGGTTTTTGGAGAAAAGGACTTTTTTTTTTTTGCTGTTTTGCTCTGAAGGGCTGCTGCTGGGTTTAGGGGAGGGTTTTAGGTATCTCCAGGATCCCAGGGGATTTTTCCTCCTGCTCCAGAGTTCGGTTTGGTTAAAGTCAGGAGCAATTTCTAGGTTGCTTTTGGGCTTCAAAATCCACTGCCCAGCATAAAGCAGGGGCAGAGCAAGCTGGGCTTGAGAGCAGACTGCCTGAAAGGAGGCTGGAACCAGGGGCGGTCGGTCTCTTCTCCAAAGTCACAAGGGATGGGATGAGAGGGAACGGCCTCAAGCTGCGCCAGGGCAGGTTTAGGTTGGATATTAGGAAAAACTTCTTCCCCAAAGGGCTGTCAGGCCCTGGCCCAGGCTGCCCAGGGCAGTGGTTGAGTCCCCATCCCTGGGGGGATTTAAAAGCCGGGGAGATGTGGTGCTTGGGGACATGGTTTAGTGGTGGCCTTGGCAGCGCTGGGTTACGGTTGGACTCGAGGATCTTCAGGGTCTTTTCCAACCTAAACGAGTCGATGATTCCAAAGCTGAAATTCAGGAAAAAACAGTCAACAAGCCGATTCACTGAGAGGAAACAGAAAAGCAGACCGTGGGAAAGGCGGGCTCTCTTTGCACTTTGCTGAAGAGCTTCCCCTGGACGCCAAAGCCCGCGTGTGCACCGACGCGAGCAGCTTTTGCAGCGACAGCCGCCGGGTTGCGGCGAAGCGGGAGCCTGCCCTCCCGCCCCGGAGCCCCGCCCGGGGGTGACACAGGCCGCCGCGCTCAGCCCGCGGCCCCCGGCTCTTCCCGCCCAGCCCGGCCGGGGGCACTGGGAGACGCAACGCCGCCGCCTCACGTCACCCCCGCGCCCACCGCAATGCGGAGAGCGCCCCCCTGCCGTGACGTCCCGGCCCGCCCCGCCTCCCCGCCCGTCAGG